AGACACGAAGGGTTTTCGTGCAAAGATAAAGCGAGCGATTTTTGCCCATCCGAGTACTCCGTTAAACTTAATTGTATATTTCAATTTGAATCTAAGAAATCCATCCGCCCCCTCCTATCTTCTTCTTCTTCCTCAAGCTTCCCCAAGCTCCTCCCNACGGGGTCAGAAAAAGGAGGTGTGACAGCTCTGCGGCATTAAGGCATGACTTGAGCTTAAGCAAGATTAAGAGAACGTTTAAGTCTAATAAACTTTCTAATAAGCTTTAGTAATTATGGTTAAATCTAGTTTCAAATGATTGTGAATAATTAATCTCAATATTTTTTTTTTTAAAAAAAATAACAATGCTGAGTTTTAATCTAGCTATATTTGTTTATTTTGAATATTAGTTGTTGAATTTTTATTTTATTTATAATTTCGAAATTAAGAGTGAAATTCCTTTTTCATCAATATTTGTATTAATCAAGCAATTAGCATGTCATGTCTTCTTAAAATAATAAAAGCTAGTAATAAATTAGGATTTTCTTTCTTTATTTTAGAGACTCATTTTTATAGAAAAATGTAGTCGTTTTAAGATTTGTCCAAATAAATGAGATGAGCCTCGCTTAATGAAATGTATAGATTGCGGGGCCCTCAATAAATGTACATTTAATCGCTTAGAATTAGGGAGGAGCCGTTTTAGCAAATTTCACGGCCCTACCCAAAATAATGATACGCTAGACTCTTTAGGCGCGATTTAATTAATTTTACCTTCTTAAACTCGGATGCGCATTTCATGCGACCCAAATCTAAATCCTAAAACATTGAATAAAAATGTGTTCCGGATTGCGGGTGCATTTCATGTGACGTAATCCAAAGACATGTTTTAAACAATGTTCACAATTTTATTTTATTTTTTTAAAAAAATAATAATAATAAAGTGGTAAAGAATTAAAATTGGCACATCGGTTCATAATTGTATTAAAATCAGATAAATAAGCCAAATATGACAATTGAGCGACCGTGCTAGAACCACGGAACTCGGGAATGCCTAACACCTTCTCCCGGGTTAACAGAATTCCTTATCCGGATTTCTGGTTCGCGGACTGTAATATGGAGTCATTCTTTTCCTCGATTCGGGATTAAACTGGTGACTTGGGACACCCTAAATCTCCCAAGTGGCGACTCTGAAATAAATAAACAAATCCCGTTTCGACTGTCCTTTAATTGGAAAAAACTNTGAAATAAATAAATAAATCCTGTTTCGATTGTCCTTTAATTGGAAAAAACTCCTACGCCCTTCGCGGGGTCGGAAAAAGGAGGTGTGACAGGTGCCACTTGGTATATATTTTTGCCATATGGAATGGTTACATAAGTTAGGGACTAGATCTTGGTGGAATATTCTAGAACTATAGAGAATTTTCTTGGAAATGTTCTAGATATNAGAGAATTTTCTTGAAAATGTTCTAGATATTTATACACTTGTAGGAAGGTTCTAGAGAAATATAAAGGTTTCTTTAGGAAGACCCTAGAACCCTATAGAATTGGTAGGAAATTAAAGTCCTTAGAAGATTCTAGCTATGTAAAATATTCTAGAGAAAGGACTTTTTTGTAAATACGAAAGGACTTGTAGAGATAATTATTATTTACATACTAGCCCCTAGGTGGTTAGTATAAATAGGGGGCATTCATTTGTAATTCATCAACCAAGCAAACAATTCAAGTTCTCTCTAATACAAAGCTTCCTTTAACAATTCTCTTGTGTTCTTTCTTCCATTCTCTTAGCGATCTTGAGTGTAGTAAGGCTGACTTGACATAGCAAGAACGTGAGCAAGTTGTGCAAAATAGTGAGCGAGTTGTCAAGTGACGCACGTGTACTTAGTTAACAACTAAGGACGTGACACTATGTTTCAAATTTGAGCTCATTTGGAGTAGATTTAGTTATTAAATCGTATATTGGATTATTATAATTCGAAGAATAAATTTTTGTTTTGGGCAATTTTAACTTCAGACTTATTGGTCTTAAGTGAATTAAAACGTTTGTTGCACTTCAGAATTTTGACCTTAAGTGCATCTGAAATGCAATTTTTCACTTCAAACTTATTGGCCTTAAGTGTAGCAAAACGTTTGTTGCACTTAAGACCTTTTGGCCTTGAGTGCATCTAAAGTGCAATTTTTTACTTCAGACTTATTGGCCTTAAGTGCATGAAACTATTGGTTACACTTCAGACCAATTTGGCCTTAAGTGCGTCTGAAGTGCAAATTTTCACTTCAGACTTATTGGCCTTAAGTGAATGAAAACATTTGTTGCACTTCAAACTTTTTGGTCTTAAGTGCATCTAAAGTGCAATTTTTCACTTCAAACTTATTAGACTTAAGTGCATCTAAAGTGCAATTTTTCACTTCAGACTTATTAGCCTTAAGTGATGAAACAATTGGTTGCACTTCACACCTATTTGGCCTTAAGTACATTTGAAGTGAAAATTTCAGGCATTTTTTTATAACTTCAGACCCATAAGTCTGAAGGGTCTGAAGTTGATTGTAAAGTGGGACACTTGCAAACTTTTTTTGTAAAGTGGGTATAGATTCAATTGTAACCCCAAAATCGAGTATAGATGCAAAAGCTCAAATTAAAGCTGGACTGGAAATTAGTCCGGTGATTAAAGCAACTTAATTACCTAATTAAGGAGTGGCTGTGATTGTGAAGATCATATATAAGTCGGTTATACTAATTAAATCAAGGGAAATATAATGAAATGACACGGTAAGCATGTTAAAAAGTTTAAGAAGCAAGTTCAACAGTTGACAAGTGTCTCTCAATAATATTTATTGCTTTTCTTACTTTCACAATGCGTAGCTTTTAATTAGTGCCAAAAAGTTAGAACTTTTACAAACAATATATCTTGCCTGCAAAAGATCATATCCATGAGAGATCATAATCCAATTAATTAATACTAGCAATTTACTTTATCTATGTCATATGAATCGGTAAGATTGAAGTGTTTTACTTTATAAATCCTGATTAGACAGTCGTTGGTATTTAACCCAAATGTATTGATAGCTTTAATTACCTGAGTAAGCACCGGAGGATCGGTTTTATGACTCATTATAATATTCTTTTAGTTATATGGAGATCGATAATAAAATATACTGCAAGTGATCAGTAGAATAAATACAAAAAATAAATTATAGAATTATTTTATTCTATTCAAATTGTAACTGATCATAAGAGATTATTTTCTCAATGTCTTCTTCCTCTAAGAATTCAAAAAAAAAAAAAAAAAAAGGGAAAACAAGTGCCACTATTGAAATCAAATTTTTTTGGATGTGTCTGCCAAAGAAGGTTTACTCTTGGTAGAGAGACCCACCTTATTTACAGAACACTACATAAGCAAAATAAAGTGAAAAAATAGGGAGGTGACTAATTCAAATATTGATTGCACTCTAGCATAGAGTTTGTTATTTACCGGTTCGGACAAACCCAATAATTTTTGCTTAGACCTTATTTTATATTAAAAAATTTATTAAATATTATAAATATTTAATTGCAAATTTATGAGTTTGGTGATAGAATCAGAACCCATAGACTTCAAATTCTGAATTTGCCTATCAATATCAACTATGGAATCTTTTCGTAATTTATTAAGTTCGCTTGAACAGTTGAACTATGGAGTATATATCAATATGTGACAATGTATATATATGCATATTCACTTTCACTTAGGGTCGAAGGAAAGAATAATTTTTAACTTGGCCAACACTGTTTTCACTTTACTATAAGTGTATAATTTCACTTTACTGTAAGTGTATAACTGTTAGTATACTCCCAACTTTTACTTTTTCCTTCTCTAGCTCCCAAGAAGAAAAGCAGCACGGAATCCTGAATTGAATAAAGAAAGAGCGAAAGAGATAATTATTGGAAACAAACTTTCAGGACTTAAGCCTCTGAACATTTCATAGAATTACAAATAAAAAAGAATAAATGGAAATATTTCATCACAATTATATACTATAATATACTACTCCGTAGGACTACATTTTTCTTTTTTGACATTTCCATTAAACCCCTAAAGGAAATGGGAAAAAACACCCACGAACAGAACGGAAAGCTGAAATTTTTACATGCAATATGCAATGCATATACATTAATCCCAAATAAGTTGTCCATATTTCCAAATCACTACGCTGAAAATCGAAACGCATAAATAGTATAGTATATATTTATGGACCAGGAGAAGCTTGCCGCCTCAAATCCCTGTAGAATTTTGATATGAAATTTTCAGCAGCCTCATCAACATGGCTATCTTCTTCAACATCTCTTAATGGAAAAGGTGAGTCAGTAATCCTCAACTGCCTCACCGTCGGAGTCCTCCCAAAACCAGGCAAATTATTAGCCGGCGAAGAATTATCATTCTGAAGCATCTCCATTGCCTTCATAACAGCCGCATTTATCACAAAAGCGTCGTCGTCGGGGGTGGCCGGCGCGTGAAAATGGGGCGCGCGGTGCTTGCTGCGCTTGTTGAGGTTGAATGGAAGGTGGAAGGTTTTAGTGTACGCTGGGCTGTCACTGCAGCTGAATTCATACTCATCGGGTGGAGCGTGTGAGAGATCTCCCACGTGCGAAGTGGGAGAAGATGAGGAATTAGACCATTGATGGGTCATGTGGTGGAACATGAGATTATGGATTGCGGCTTTGCTAGCAATTTTGCCACGCTTCATAAATAAGTTGAAATCCAGCATAAATTTTCTCTTTGATATGCTTTTTTTCAGCATGAAGAAAGCTACTCGCACTATGTTCCAGAATTTCTTTGCTACAATTGGCAAATTTTGATCCATTTTTTGTTTAAGGATTTAATTTGGTTCGAATCAGAAAGGTAGAATTTGTGATAGATTTGATGCTTTGAAAGAGAGAGAGATGAGAAAAGAAATGTTTTTGATTTGTTGGAATGGAAAATGTGTGAAAGTATAAGAGGGTATTTATAGGTCTTCCGTAGAGGAAGAGGACGCTTTGAAGTACTTGAATTCCCAGTTCCCCAACCTCCCCCCCCCCCCCCCCTTTTTTTTT